TGGATAGTGAACCTGAGGTGATCAATGAGGATGAGCAAAATGGAGACACTTTGGGCAATAAGGTTACTGCAGACTCTGATCGAGAAGGGTCAGGGGAAGAGGAAAGGGAGGAAATTCATCCACTCTGGTTTAAAACGGCTTCTCTGGCTTGAGCCGAGGCCAGGGACTGTTGGGACTCAGCCTGTGTTTGAACCTGAATCTGTGATTGTGTTTCCCCCTTCTAATGTTTTTGGGTCTGACTTGGATAGTGAACCTGAGGTGATCAATGAGAATGAGCAAAATGGAAATTGGGCAATAAGGTTACTGCAGACTCTGATCGAGAAGGGTCAGGGGAAAGGCTAAGTTCTCATGAGAAAGAAAGTTTACTCCCTTCTCCAGGCTCGAGTTTGCAAGATAGTTTCACACCCGCTGCAGTTAATGAGGAGATAGATAAGACCAGTCTCCGTCTGGAAATCAGCCAGAACTGTCGAGAGGTCCAATGTTTACGCAGGTCAGAAAAGAATTCGGCAGTTAAGGCCAAAAACTGGGAGGAGTAGGAACCAGTTTTTGGGACTTAAATTGAGCTCTTAGAGAATTTTCTTTAGACCAGGCATYGTTTGGAAACACGCTCAAGTCTCCTGGAAATTCCTGTTTYRTGTKGCCTCGTCTCTAAGGATTCATGGCTTTTCAAGTAGATTAGCAGTGGCTAGTCTSTTCATGGTTTTATTTTAAAGGCTTTTGGTTATTCATTGCATTTGGATTATTTCTGCARRCTTTGGGACATTGTTATTATTCCTATGTTTGGACACTGATTATGTTGCKGCTTTATTTGKYTTTTTGCTTTTGGAYTTCTATTTATTTTACATTCAWCTCTTTTATTGGCTCCAGTTATYCTTCAAATAAAAAGGACTCTTCTTTCATTCAAGGTGTGGTGTAATTAATGAWTAGAGRGTCCTGTTCCTGTTCTAGGATGAAAAAGGGACCAGAAGTGAGGAAAAACTAATTTCTGACTCACTTACTGCTTCATAACAGAAATGTCAGGGTATAAGAATACCTCTGACAAATGTTGTAGTGAGCAAACAGGTACATTCTACCATATGTGGTGGACATGTAAAGAAACATCTAAGTATTGGTCATTAATACACGAGGAAACACAAAAAATTCTGAAAAGGGAGTTTAAGAAGAAACCAGAGTACTATCTACTAGGCTTCACAGACCTGGATTTACAACTTGAAGAAAATGAAGACAAATTATTAACATACATTACAACAGCAGCTAGGATTAATTTTGCTAGATACTGGAAAAAAGAACAGACTCCCATTATTGATGAATGGATAGATAAGGTTAAAGAAATAAGAGACATGGATGGACTAACTTTTTTGATGAGGAAAAATACCGGAAAATCGGCAAAAAGGACAGACTGGACCCTTTTTTATGACTATGAAAAAAATAGAAGAATAATAGAGGCTAAGAATACCTTGATCAAACCTCAAAAGAAGTTTGATCAAGAAGTATTTAGAGAAATCCTGAGGCTGGAGTGGAAGTCATTTTAGAACTGTTAGTGTGTGGGGGTTTTTTTTTGTTTTTTTGTTTTTTTGCATTTTTTGTAATTTTTTTGGACCTTTATCATTATATATTTTTTCTTTTTTGGAATTTATTTTTTTGGCCTTTTTTCTCTCTTCTCTTTTTTCTTCTTTTTCTTTTGGTGGTGATTGGGTTTCTTACTTTTCTATCTTCTTTGGTAATGTTCCCCCTCTTTCCTTGTGTTGATGTTTAAAATGTTTAATAAAAATGATTTTTAAAAAAATAACAGAAATGTCAGGAAAAGCTTCGGAAGGGCAAAGGGACTTTCAGTTTCCTTAAAAACTTCAAAATCGCTTCAAAAAGCAAATCTTTCCAAATTTATTCCGAATTACAAAGATTCCGATCGAACCTAACCATGCCTAATACACATCAAGACCACCTTTAACTATTGGTGCAGTTCGGGGGCAATGACATGGTGATAGGAGTTGTAGTTCACCTGCATCCATATGTATTTTCTACTTCTAATATTGATCACTACAAAATACCTAACCCGGGCATCGTTGGACATGCATGTGCTGTCGCACACTGGGCCTGTACATAAGACTGTAGACAGGACATAAATTCTGTGTGCCCAACGGGATGCCAGGGCTGCCTCAGATTAAAGGCCTTTGGATTTCCTTAAACAGAGTCTTTAGATTGCTTAAAGGTTCAACAAAGTTCTTTATTATTGAAATCAAACAGGTACTTCAAGGGTTTCTTAATAGTCTACTGGCTCTCTCAATCTTGTCCACAGGGGACAGGCACTATCTTCATAACTGTATTTTAACTAATGGGGAATTCCTAACTTCTTATCTGGGCAGTCTGTCTTTGCCTCTGTTGGCGTGGAGCCCCTATACCCGGTACCAACTGCTTTTGGCTGCCGCGAGTGACCCTTACCAAGCAGAGCTTGGTAGACTTCCAGGGGAAAGGAAGGTGTTCAGGTTTCAGTGATGGCTGGCTGAAGTGCTGTGGGACCAGATTCCCCCAGCAAAGGAGCTGCAAGGCTGTAAAATCCTCAGCAAAAGAGCTGTGCTGAGACTGTATCTCTCTGGCCAAGCTGTGGGCTGTGTCTCCCCGGCCAAGCTGTAGAAGACAAAGCTTTCTACAGGAGCTCTTGGTTTTATGACCTGTATGAAAGGCTTCTCTGTGTGGACTGACCCAAAATGGCTCCTATTCCCTCCAAAACTCAAAAAGGGGGCGGGACCAGGGAACCTAACGATAATTGACAGGTCATAGATCCAATAAATGCAAACTAAGGAAAGCCATCTAACTACAAAGGCATAGAACTTTAAAATACATGCAGTAATCAACAATTAGGACTCCTGGCTCGAGAGCAGTACGTGTGAAAAAGATCTTGGAGTCCTTGTGGACAACAAGTTAAACATGAGCCAACAATGTGATGTGGCGGCAAAAAAAGCCAATGGGATTTTGGCCTGCATCAATAGGAGCCATAGTGTCTAGATCTAGGGAAGTCATGCTCCCCATGCTCTATTCTGCTTTGGTTAGACCACACCTGGAATATTGTGTCCAATTCTGGGCAGCACAATTCAAGAGAGATATTGACAAGCTGGAATGTGTCCAGAGGAGGGCGACTAAAATGATCAAGGGTCTGGAGAACAAGTCCTATGAGGAGCTGCTTAAGGAGCTGGGCATGTTTAGCCTGAAGAAGAGAAGGCTGAGAGGAGATATGATAGCCATGTATAAATATGTGAGAGGAAGCCACAGGGAGGAGGGAGCAAGCTTGTTTTCTGCTTCCTTGGAGACTAGGACTCAATGGAACAATGGCTTCAAACTACAAGAAAGGAGATTCCATCTGAACATGAGGAAGAACTTCCTGACTGTGAGAGCCGTTCAGCAGTGGAACTCTCTGCCCCGGAGTGTGGTGGAGGCTCCTTCTTTGGAAGCTTTTAAGCAGAGGCTGGATGGCCATCTTTCAGGGGTGATTTGAATGCAATATTCCTGCTTCTTGGCAGAATGGGGTTGGACTGGATGGCCCATGAGGTCTCTTCCAACTCTTTCATTCTATGATTCTATGATTCTTCAAATAAAAAGGACTCTTCCTTCATTCAAGGTGTGGTGTAATTAATTATTAGAGGGTCCTGTTCCTGTTCTAGGATGAAACAGGGACCAGAAGCAGGGAAAAACTGAATAATTTCTGACTCACTTACTGCTCCATAACAGAAATGTCAGGAAAAGCTTCAGAAGGGCAAAGGGACTTCCAGTTTCCTTAAGAACTTCAAAATCGCTTCAAAAAGCAAATCTTTCCAAATTTATTCCGAATTACAAAGATTCCGACCGAACCGAACCATGCCTAATACCCATCAAGACCACCTTTAACTATTGGTGCAGTTCGGGGGCAATGACATGGTGATGGGAGTTGTAGTTCACCTGCATCCATATGTATTTTCTACTTCTAATATTGATCACTACAAAATACCTAACTCAGGCATCGTTGGACACGCATGTGCTGTCGCACGCTGGGCCTGTACATAAGATTGTAGACAGGACATAAATTCTGTGTGCCCAACGGGACGCCGGGGCTGCCTCAGATTAAAGGCCTTTGCAATTTCCTTAAACAGAGTCTTTAGATTGCTTAAAGGTTCAACAAAGTTCTTTTATTATTGAAATCAAACAGGTACTTCAAAGCTTTCTTAATAGTCTATTGGCTCTCTCAATCTTGTCCACAGGGGACAGGCACTATCTTCATAACTGTATTTTAACTAATGGGGAAATCCTTAACCTCTTATCTGGGCAGTCTGTCTTTGCCTCTGTTGGCGTGGAGCCCCTACACCCGGTACCAACTGCTTCTGGCTGCTGCGAGTGACCCTTACCAAGCAGAGCTTTGTAGACTTCCAGGGGAAAGGAAGGTGTTCAGGTTTCAGTGATGGCTGGCTGAAGCGCTGTGGGACCGGATTCCCTCAGCAAAAGAGCTGTGGGCTGTAAAATCCTCAGCAAAAGAGCTGTGCTGAGACTGTATCTCCCCGGCCAAGCTGTAGAAGACGAAGCTTTCTACAGGAGCTCTTGGTTTTATGTCCTGTATGAAAGGCTTCTCTGTGTGGACTGACCCAAAATGGCTCCTATTCCCTCCAAAACCCAAAAAGGGGGTGGGACCAGGGAACCTAACGATAATTGACAGGTCATAGATCCAATAAATGCAAAGCAAGGAAAGCCATCTAACTACAAAGGCATAGAACTGTAAAATACATGGTACCAGAACAACGCAAGTTAGTAAAAAATTAAAGAAAACACGTCTTCCTCTTTTTTTCTTGCAACTTGATCCCATTGGTTTGTGTTCTATTCTCTGAAACGGCCGAAAATAAGCTTGTTGCACCTTGCACGGGACATCCCTTTTGATGGGATGGCCATAAGCTAGGGTCAAGGGCTTGCAGCAACACATCCAAGCAACAGCAATGCAATGTGGATTGCCAGAATCGGCAGCTTCCTACTTTAGGCGACTTTGCGCCTCCACTCCTCTTTTGTTTGCCTTTATATGAGTGGTGGAAATACCTTGGCTCTCCTCCAGTTTTCAGGACTGTTCCCCTCCATCAAGCTCTTTAGTATTCTCTGCCACTTTTCAGAAAGCTCTGCTTCCAAAGAGGGGGCTCGTTCCTTTTGCCCCAAAGCTTCAGAATACTTATATTGAGCATCCATCTCCAGACACACCGTTAGGAAGTTCTTCCTTCCCAAAGAAGAACTCTGTGTGGCTCCAAAGCTTTCACTGCCTTTTACTATCGGGAGGTAAGGCAAGGACAGGCGTCTCTGGCCAATGTCACATTTTGTTCTGAGAGATGCAAATCGCATGTCCCCGAGTCTCTCCTTTGTGGATCTGCATCTCCTTGTCACTTTGATCATTAGCATCTTTTGGGTAGAGGGACCCTTGCCATTTAGCATCTTTTCTCCTTCTCCTTCCAGCCCTTTTCCGGATGGATGCAAAGTGAGGCAGCTTCCCTTTTGCAACCCAATTTGTCTTTACAAAAGGAAACTCCTTGTTCTCTCCCCCCATCCTTTGCTCCTGCTTTTCTTTGCTAGCAGACAATGGAGCTTTTCAAAAGTTGCCCGAATTGGACGTTCCTTCTTTTGTGGTTCCAGGGTAAGTTTGTTTTTCACTTATCTTTCTTTTTTTCCTAATTTATTCATAATTTGGGGATGTTCTCGATGTTTCCTGCTGGTGGGAATTGCTTTAGTTTGCCTCCCCTGTTTGGTCTGCTTTTTGTTTGTTGTGAAGCCAAATCCCTCGGAAGCTTTTGAAGGATTTTGTGTGCAGAAATGTATATTTATGGACAGCAGAGCTTGTGAATCCTCTTGGATTGGTGTGAAACCGTACTCACTTCTGTTTCCCCTTCCCAAGAAAAGTGCTTGGTGAATTACGAGAATTAGGGGTGCACCTACACTGAAGAATTAACCCAGTTTGACAACACTGTAACTGGCATGGCTCAATGCTGTGGAATCCTGGAAATTATAATCGTACAAAGCTTTTAGCCTTCTCTGCCAAAGAGTGACAAACTACAATACCTGTGATTTCATAGCATTGGGTCATTGGGTCACAGCAGTTAAAGTGGTGTTGAACTGCATTGTTTCTACAGCAGCGTTTCTCAACCTGAGGGTCTGGACCCCTGGGGGGGGGGGTTGTGAGGGGGTGTCAGAGGGGTCACCAAAGACCATCAGAAAGCACAGTATTTTCTGTTGGTCATGGGGATTCTGTATGGGAAGTTTGGCCCAATTCTATCGGTGGGGTTCAGAATGCACTTTGATTGTAGGTGAACTATAAATCCCAGCAGCTACAACTCCCAAATGTCAAGGTCTATTTTCCCCAAACTCTACCAGTGTTCACATTTTGGCATGTTGAATATTCATGCCAAGTTTGGTCCAGAACCATCATTCTTTGAGTCTACAGTGCTTTCTGGATGTAGGTGAACTATAACTTCAAAACTCAAAAACCCTTCTGGTTTTTTTGTTGGTCAATTCCATTGTTGGTGGAGTTCAGAATGCTCTTTGATGGTAGGTGAACTATAAATCCCAGCAACTACAACTCCTCAATGACAAAGTCAATCTCCTCCCCCCACCCCCGCCACCAAACCCACCAGTATTCAAATTTGGGTGTGTTGGGTATTTGTGCCAAATTTGGTCCAGTGAATGAAAATACATCCTGCATATCAGATATTTACATGATGATTCATAACACTAGCAAAATTACAGTTATGAAGTAGCAGCGAAAATAATTTTATGGTTGGGGGTCACCACAATATGAGGAACTGTATGAAGGGGTCGTGGTATTAGGAAGGTTGAGAAACACTGAGTAGATGTCCTCTTTTGAGTTAGAGATCTTGATCTAATATGCTTTTGCAATTCCAACAAGGAATGCTTTTGCAACCTTCTGGCTTGTGTACCTTCGCAGCCTCTTTCGGGACTTTCCTTACCTGGCCACAAAGACATATTGAGTTTGTTCCCATTGCAATATATGTAAATAATACTATGTGGGGATAGTTTTGAAGGCTTAGAAATGTCACTTGGTGCAAAGAGCTGCAGCCAGGGGCTTGATTGTTTAAAGGGATTATGCAAGAAAGTGCAGACTTTCCATTTTTTACAGTATTCTAATATATCAGGCATGAGCAAAGTGTTTTGGGTTGAAGTCCAAATAGCCGGTAGGCTGTTAGGAATTGTGGGAGCTGAAGTCCAAAATGCCTGGAGGGCTGAAGTTTGCCATGCCTGGTGTAGAAGCTCAAACTGGATTGCATGGTTCTCTTTGCTCTGTCCACGCTCAGTGCTCGTTTCAGGTTGTGATATCCCCTTCTTGCAAAAACCATGAATGAAAGCTTCATCCCAATACTTATTGGGATCTTCCTGTAAGGAAACAGTGAAAGCCTTTCATCTATTGTATGCTCATTTCCCAGCCGGGTTCCTTTGACACAGCCAAGCTGCTCTTTGGTCTTATTGAAGGTATTGTACTTCATGTTCAAGAGGACAGGAAACTCGCTATAGAGTCTTGGGCTTATTCTGAAGCAGAGAAGGGTGGGGGGAACACCCTGTTTTCTAAAGCATGCAAGGATGGATGATCAATGATGCAATAAGAAGAATTTGCTTTCAGGCTTTGAGTGGATCGGGGGTGTACGGCACATGCACGACGTCTTGGTTTTGGGGGCCGAAACATGAGACCGAGGGAAGGTCCCCATTCGTGTCTTGCTGGAGGGATGAGGATGGAAACATCCTCCTTCTTCAGCCTCCATCAACAACTAAACAGACCTTCTTTACCCAAGTTGGTTGCTGACTATTAAGGAGGGCTAGTGGAGGGCCAGGAGATGTTGTGGATGTGGATATGAGGTTGAATTTAGACTAGGACCACAGATAAGAGGGTCTGTGCCTGGCATGTGTTTACCCTAGAATCATAGAATAATAGAGTTTGAAGAGACCACATGGATTATGTAGTCCAACCCCCTGCTATGCAGGAAAAGCACAATCAAATCACCCCCAATGGATGCGATATACCGGTACATATATTTATAGTGTCCCTACTTTGCGGATTTTCACTTTTCACGAGTGGTCCTGGAACGGGATTATGGCGCAGCTGGCTGAGTGTCAGCTGCATTAAGATCACTCTGACCAAAAGGTCATGAGTTCGAAGCCAGCCCGGGTTGGAGTGGGTTTCTAACCAATTGTGTGTAGCCTGTTGTCGACCTTTGCAACCCGAAAGACAGTTGCATCTGTCAAGTAGGAAAATAAGGTACCACCTTAAAGTGTGGGGAGGCTAAATTAACTGATTTATGAGGCCATAAAGAAGACTCCAGCAAAGCATTCCAGCGGGGAAGCATGGGGAATGCGGAAGTGCTTCATCAGCGTCGCAGATGGACGATGAAAGCGACAGCTCCCCGGTGGCCAGAAAAGTTAAATAGCCTCTGTGTATGTCTGTATATGTTTGTATGTCAAAAATTGGCATTGAATGTTTGCCATATATGTGTACACTGTAATCCACCCTGAGTCCCCTGCGGGGTGAGAAGGGCGGAATATAAAAGCTGTAAATAAATAAATAAATAAAATAATAAACGTAACACCAGCGATAAGTGAGGGAACACTGTATATTTAATACGTACTAGTTGTACCTGCCACGTGTTGCTGCGGCCAACCTTCCCTCCCTCTTTCTCTCCTTTTTCTTTCCTTCCTTCCCTTTTCTTCTTCTCTCCTTCCTTCTTTCCTTCCTTCCTTTCTTCCTTCTCTTCCTCTTCCCTTTCTCCCCTCCCATTTTGTTTCCCTTCCTCTTTCTCCCTTTTTCCTTCTTTACATATTCTTGGACTGCAAATCCCAGCAGTCCTCCTGATTGATCTATCTACCTACCTATCTACCTCTATCTAGCCTATCTATTTGGAGAATTGCTGGGAGTTGCAGTCCAGGAATAGGAAATTGGGAATATGCCGGGATTGGGATGCTCTCAAAGAAATCCAAGGAGAAGAAAGCTTGCATCTTGGAAGCCGTACATTTGGGTCATCCTCCTCTCCTAAAGAACCTGGTCTAGGGGATGCTGGGAGCTGTAGTCCAGAAGAGAGTGTGGATATGCTATTGTGTGTTTTGTTTGCCAGGGGCAGTCGTTTTGCTCATGCACCGTAACGTCTTTTTGCTTTTTTGGCTTTTTAAGCCCCTTCCGCTGTGTTTTTCAGTGTTTCTATGACTGATGGTCACTTGTTGACTGGGTAGGTGTCTTGTGTCCAAATTTGGTGTCAATTCATCCAGTGGTTTTTGAGTTATGTTAATCCCACAAACGAACATTACATTTTTATTTATATAGATAAGGGCATGAGAGAGGGTAAAGGGATATAAGGTAGGTAAAAGTTATGAGGAAACACATATACTTTATTAAATGATTGAGAAGGGATGGGGTGTCTTTTGAGAGATTTGCTGCTGCAGATTGAGTCCACTCATGCGCTGATATGTACCAGCGCATGTTTGTGAACCCTTAATAAAAAGATATAAAGTGAAAAACAGGCTTCTGTGAGACGGTTAGGGCTGCTAGTCTGTCCGTTGGTCTTGGGAGTCTGGTGGAAAAGGAAAAAGAGATTATTTCATTTTATTTAGGCGTCCTTGGCGAACTAGAAATCATTGGGGTCAGGGTGTGCACTCGTCCAATGACCTTTGACTTATTTGTGGGTCGTATCAAAACCCATAATTCTGGTTCCAAAACTTCCCTTTGACTATACATGAGTATATAGGACTAGCGGTCCCCTGCCATGCGTTGCTGTGGCCCAGTCTGTTGATCTGGAAAATAAAGTAATGAGAAAGTGTTGGTTTCTAATATATGTAATGTCTTTATGCTTGTGGGTAAACAGTGTTTGCTGTTTCTTTGTCAGTGTTGATGTGGAGATTGTCTGGTTGCCCACCCTGGAACATGCAGCATATCATTGTCCTTTTTTAAGGGTCTCTTTCAAATCTATGATACTATATCTGTGTGTGTGCAAATCATATATATCGATCTATCTCTATGGCTGGATGGCTCTTTGTCAGGAGGACTGTGATTACGTTTTCTTGCCCTGATGAAAGGAGTTGGATTGGATGGCTTTAAGTATTTTCTGTTGGTCATGGGGGTTCTGTGTGGGAAGTTTGCCCCGATTCTGTCGTTCATGGGGTTCAGAATGCTCTTTGATTGTAGGTGAACTGTGAATACCACTAACTACAACTCCCAAATGTCAAGGTCTATTTCCCCCAAACTCCATCTGTGTTCATATTTGGGCATATTGAGTGCTTGTGCCAAGTTTGATCCAGATCCATCATTGTTTGAGTCCACAGTGCTCTCTGGATGTAGGTGAACTACAACTCCCAAATCCTTCTAGCTTTTTCTGTTGGTCATGGGAGTTCTGTGTGCCAAGTTTGGTTCAATTCCATCGTTGATGGAGTTCAGAATGCTCTTTGATTGTAGGTGAACTATAAATCCCAGCAACTACAACTCTCAAATGACAAAGTCATAATGTTTTGAGTGATGGTCACTCCTTGTGTTGTGAGACATTTAGTTGCCAAATTTGGTGTGATTATGTTCATTGGTTCTTTTGTTTTTAAGGTACTCATTACGCAAAGAGCATTTATATATATATAGACATGTTTTGTATACAAATTGCAGACACGTTACACATTGTTGTTGTCTTATTCCCCGCAGCATCGGGAGGAGAGAGTTTCCTCATCAAAAATGCCCGTCTGGGGAAGTGCATCCACGTCTTCCCTCACGCGGTGGACCAAGTGGGTCTCTCCGAATGCAAGCCCCATTCCCTCCACCATCAGTGGGGCTGGGACATGGCCAGGCGGGCAGTGGTCAGCCTCGCAACCAAGCAATGCCTGTCCGTCTCCCACTTGGAAGAGTTTGCCTTGGCGCAGGTGGGGGTCTGTGGAGGAGAGGGGCCACCCCAGGGCTGGACCTGCAGCCAAAAGGGACACCTCACCCTCCAAGGCTCTGGCCTCCACCTCACCACCAAACCTGGCGGGCACAAGGCCTTCCTGGCCAAAGAGAAGGACAAGTTCAGCAGGTGGAAGACGCTCACCGACGAGATCATCTGCGCTGTGGAGCCAGCGGTGACGGATCTTGGATTTGGAGATCCAGTAGAGGAACGTCTAGACCCACTGGACTGGGTCCCGGAAAGTATATTTCCATTTTAATCATATAGAATCATAGAAGATACCCCAAGGGCCATCCAGTCCAAGACCCTTCTGTCATACAGGAAGACCCAATCCAAACACCCCTAACAAATGGCCATCCAGCCTCTGCTTAAAAACCTCCAGAGATGGAAACACCATCACATTCCCAGTCAGTAGCATATCCCACTGTTAAACAGCATTTACTGCCACAAGGTTCTTCCTAATGTTGAAGTGGAATCTCTTTTCTTCCCATTTGAACCTATTGATCCATTGTGTACTAGTTTCTAGTGCACAGAACACAAGCTAGCTCCCTCCTCAATGTGACCTCACAGAATCATAGGGTTGGAAAAGACTACAAAGGACATCCAATCCAACCCCTTGCACACATGCAAGAATATGCAATCCAAACATCAGCAACAGAGAAGGAGACTCTATCGGACTTAGAGGAAGCATATCCCAGTGGCACACAACTCTTGCTGTCAGGAGGTTCTTCCTAATGAAGAAAACAGCCTAGAACTAGGACTTCCCTCAATCTAGACCAGCGTTTCTCAACCTGGGGGTCAGGACCCCTGGGGGGTCGTAAGGGGATGTCAGAGGGGTCACCAAAGACCACCAGAAAACATAGTATTTTCTGTTTATTGTCGAAGGCTTTCATGGTCGGAATCACTGGGTTGTTGTAGGTTTTTTCGGGCTATATGGCCATGTTCTAGAGGCATTCTCTCCTGACGTTTGGCCAGCATCTATGGCAAACATCCATCACTACCATCACAACTGTTGGTCGTGGGGGATGTGTGTGGGAAGTCTGGCCCAATTCTACCATTGGTGGGGTTCACAATGCTCTGACTGCAGGTGAACTATAAATCCCAGCAACTACAACTCCCAATGTCAAGGCTTATTTCCCCCAAACTCTACCAGTGTTCACATTTGGGCATATTGAGTATTTGGTCCTGAACCATCATTGTTTGAGTCCACAGTGTTCTCTGGATGTTGGTGAACTACAACTCCCAAACTCAAGGTCAATGCCCACCAAAACCTTCCAGTGGGAGTTCTCTGTGCCAAGTTTGGTTCAATTCCATCATTGATGGAGTTCAGAATGCTCTTTGATTGTAGGTGAACTATAAATCCCAGCAACTACAACTCCCAAATAACAAAATCCACTCCACCCCCAACCACACCAGTATTCAAATTTGGGCATATCAAGTATTTGTGCCAAATTTGGTTCAGTAAATGAAAATACATCCTGTATAGCAGATATTTACATTATCACTACCTCTGAGGATGCTTGCCATAGATGCAGGCGAAACGTGAGCAGAGATTCCTCTAGAACATGGCCATATAGCCCGAAAAAACCTACAACAACACAGTGATTCCGGCCATGAAAGCCTTCGACAATACATTTACATTATGATTCATAACAGGAGCAAAATTACAGTTGTGAAGTAGCAATGAAAATAATGTTATGGTTGGGAGTCACCACAACATGGGGAACTGTATTAAGGGGTCGCGGCTCTAGGAAGGTTAAGAAACACTGATCTGGAAACTACTCTCATATGGAAACTGCCTAGAATTGCATTGACTTTTTGAGCTGCTGTGTCACACTCTTGACTCATGTTCAACTTATGGTCTATTAGATCCATTTTGCATGGACTGTTTCCAAGCCAGGTGTCACCCACCCTATATGTTTCTCCCAGGCCATTTACAATAGAGATTACACCAGAAGACAAGACAATCTTCATATCTGCAGGGGATACGTTGCCAGATTTCTCATGGCTTTGCAAACCCACAGATAAAAACAATCCCTTTTGCAATGAAGGACATGAGGCTTTAGAATTCCATGGCTAGATAGAGTCACACTGGAGAACCTAGAAAATACAGTATATACAAAGGGCACGTAAATTAAACCCCAGGTAAGGAACCCATGGATATGGTAGTTGTGCTGTTGCACGCTGGGCCTGTGCATAAGACTGTAGACAGGACATAAATTCTGTGTGCCCAACGGGACGCCGGGGCTGCCTCAGATTAAAGGCCTTTGGATTTCCTTAAAACAGAGTCTTTAGATTGCTTAAAGGTTCAACAAAGTTCTTTATTATTGAAAACAAAAAGGGACTTTAAGGCTTTCTTAACAGTCTATTGGCTCTCTCTCAATCTTGAGCACGGGGAACAGGCACTATCTTCACAATTGTAATTTAACTAATGGGGAAATCCTTAACTTTTAATCTGGGCAGTCTGTCTTTGCCTCTGTTGGCGTGGAGCCCCTGCACCCGGTACCAACTGCTTCTGTCTTCCGTGAGTGACCCTTACCAAGCAGAGCTTTGTAGACTTCCAGGGGAAAAAGGAGTTCAGGTTTTGGTGATGGCTGGCTGAAGTCCCTCAGCAAAGGAGCTGTAAGGCTGTATGATCCTTGGCCAAGCTGTGGGCTGTATAACCCCGGCCAAGCTGTAGAAGACGAAGCTTTCTACAGGAGCTCTTGGTATTATGTCCTGCATGGAAAGCTTCTCTGTGTGGACTGAACCCAAACTGGCTCCTATTCCCTCCAAAACCCAAAGGGGGCGGGACCAGGGAACCTAACTATAATTGACAGGTGGCTTGCCCTATGATTGCAGCCAAAAGAAGCCACCTATCTGCAGAGTCCCTGAAACTTAGGACTACAACAAACATTCAATGCAAAGCAAACAAAATTGGAGCTCCTGGTACAGTTGTACCTGCACAGTAGTTGTACTGCATAGTTAAACCAGCCAGCATGGCCACGTCATTTCTCTACTTTGATGTTCATTGAGGCACTGATCCCTGCAGCTTTCATATCCAGAAGAAATGTTGATGACCACCTCTTGGCATCTTTTTTCCCAGGTAAATCTACAGCTTCTCTTGAGCTTCGCATGACCTTTCCCGTCAAGGCCACCACTGTCCCTCCGGCCACCATTTGGGAAGATTTATCTAACACCACCAGCACTTTCCCAAAAAATGAAGATGGGGGCTTTGCAGAAGATCAAGGTGAGTATTGCAAACAGAGCTGTAACCAAGGCAGCAGAAGGAGAACTTTACGGGCCAAGGAGTACTGCCAATATTTAGACAGAGATGAACCAAACTCCCAGTTTGTGTTAAACAATTTAATTAAATCAGCACTTACTTTCTGGCTGTCTCAGTCCCACCACTTTCGATTGCGAAAGTGGCGGGACTGAGAGAAGGTCCCCGCCAGAACATCTTAACAGCCTTGATGGTTCATAGGGGAGAATACATTTATAATATACTATTATTATATTTATTTATACTTTGTTTACTTTTCCTAAACAAGATTATTAAATGATACCAAAAGGAACCCAATTTTGAAACTCAGGGGCATGAGTGCCAACAAAGATTGTTCAAACAGAGATACCTTCTTTTGCTCCATGTCATTTCATCTCATTCTCCATATTTTATTTCTTCACCAGAAAGATACACCCACCACAAAAAGCATCCAAAGAAAGCGACAGGCTCCCGACATCCAGGTAGGGTGGAATCCAGAAAAGACGTGTGAAACAGAATGGATACTCAAGGCAAACAAATATTTCTGGAATTCACTACCAGAGAATATGGTGATGGTTATTGGTGTAGGTTTATTTATCGTGTCATCCACAACCAGAACACTGTACCACATTTCTAACAGAACAAAGCAAACAAACAGATAAAAAACACACACACACACATTTTGCAAACTTGGTAGCTGATTAAATGTCCTTTGACCAGTATCTGGCCACTTGGAGTGCCTCTGGTGTTGCCGCAAGAAGGTCCTCCATTGTGCATGTGGCAGGGCTCAGGTTGCATTGCAGCAGGTGGTCTGTGGTTTGCTCTTCTCCACACTCGCATGTCGTGGATTCAACTTTGTAGCCCCATTTCTTAAGATTGGCTCTGCATCTCGTGGTGCCAGAGCGCAGTCTGTTCAGCGCCTTCCAAGTCGCCCAGTCTTCTGTGTGCCCAGGGGGGAGTCTCTCATCTGGTATCACCCACGGATTGAGGTGCTGGGTTTGAGCCTGCCACTTTTGAACTCTCGCTTGCTGAGGTGTTCCAGCGAGTGTCTCTGTAGATCTAAGAAAACTATTTCTTGATTTAAGTCGTTGGCATGCTGGCTGATGCCCAAACAAGGGATGAGCTGGAGATGTCTCTGCCTTGGTCCTTTCACTATTGGCTGCTACTTCCTGGCGGATGTCAGGTGGTGCAATACCGGCTAAGCAGTGTAATTTCTCCAGGTGTAGGGCAGACACCCCATGTAATGTGGCATGTCTCATTAAGAGCCACATCCACTGTTTTAGAGTGGTGAGATGTGTTCCACACTGGGCATGCGTACTCAGCAGCAGAGTAGCATAGCGCAAGGGCAGATGTCTTCACTGTATTTGGTTGTGATCCCCAGGTTGTGCCAGTCAGCTTACGTATGATATTGTTTCTAGCACCCACTTTTTGCTTGATGTTCAGGCAGTGCTTCCTGTAGGTCGGAGCACGATCCAGAGTGACTCCCAGGTATTTGGGTAGGTGAAAGGCATTGGTGTAGGTGAAAGGCATTGAAACAGCACCAGATCGTGTCTGATCTTGGAAGCTAAGCGGGGCCAGCCCGGGTTAGGGCCTGGATGGGAAATTGCCAATGAATCCCAGGCACTCCTAGGCTATCTTTCAGAGGAAGGAACTGGAAAAACCTCCTCTGAGTCTTCCTTGCTTCCAAAAAGCCTATGAAATACCTCAGGTTGTTATGAATAACTTTCCCACATTGGAAAAGAGTAACCCACTTGGGCACCAATTATGTCATGTGTGACTTTTCAATAACTTTCAAGCATAGGTTCTTTTTATTGCAATTTCCAGTGTGAGGGTATATCAGACTACAGAAAACATTTAGACATACAGACATACAGGTTCTATGCAACTACATCGGATTTACAATTACATGGCTAACAAACAGGCAAAGGGGAATTACATTTTCACTCAACATTCACAGGCATGTGCATGCATTCATCCTCATGCACCCAAATATTCTCCCTCCTTGGAGAAGCACCTGTTAGGCCAGACCCTGCTTTCCTGCAGCCTGCCAATGCATAGTTCCATAACGCCAAAACTTCAAAACACCGAAATGCCAAAACTTCTTCCCTCAGCACAATGCCAAGGACCAGATCTTTGTTTCCTATACCGCAGAATCTGACTCCCTGCACAAAATCCAAGACTCCAAAAGTGCACTTCTTCCTCTTCCCTTGAGAAAGAAACCCCAAAGTGACCAGACTGCTCCCGTGCAAATCTGACACTCTCCATAAGTGCACTATCTCTCCCCTTCCCATGGAGCAGAGCATATCAGGTGGAACAGACTCCTCAGGTCTGCCACACTTTGAGTATTATTAGACTGGTCTTTTATAAGAATAATCTGTTGATGTAGTCCAAAAGTTGTAAATTAATGATAGACGTTTTCCATCCTGGATCAATCTCAGTTTCCTGGCCAGATGTTGCTCTCTTCTTCTTCTTTTATTACATATTTTATTAAGTTTTTCAGATACAATAAATGAGGGGGAACATTTAGTTTGTATAGAAAAGTAGGAAAGTATAAAGATATGGCAGTAGAAGAAAAAGGAAAGAGAAAAAGAAAAGAACCCACACCCGAAACTTGGGGTTGGGGTTTGGGTAGGGGGTTTAGTTCGACTTCCAAGCTTTTTCGCCTTGGATTTAATCTTCTTTAGTCATTAGATTGCTCTTGATTGTTTGGCAAGCTTCTTTACATAGTTTTTCTTAAGAGCATTTCTTATTAAAATTTATCTTATCTCTATTATCCATTTCATGTTTTCTTGTATCATAAAATTCTTTATTGGTGTCCAGTCTGTCCTGGGTATTTTAATATTCTGCTTTATAGTCATCTGTTGGGTTAGTTTGTCCATGTTCATAATCTCTACAATTTTCATTAGCCAATGTTCTTGAGATGGGATTTCTTTCATTCTCCATAGTCTAGCATAGTTTATTCTGGCCGGCATCACTAGATAATTAAAGAGTTTGTCCTTATTTAAGTCCACTTCAAAATCTATTATTCCTAAGAGAAAATATTCTGGTTTAAATTCTAGCTTTATGTCTAAAATCTTTTCTGTTTTTTTTCGTGGATATTCTTCCAATATTATTTGGCAATTTTACAGGTCCACTACATATGGAAGAAGGAGCCCGTTTGTTCTTCGCACCTCCTACATTTGTTATTTGTTTTTGGGTAATATTTGGCCAATTTCTGAGGTGTGATGTACCATCTGTACATCATTTTTAACCAGTTTTCTTTTAAGTCAAATGCATATGTGTATTTGATTTTTTTTATTCCAGATTTTCTCCCAATCTTCTTATTGTATTGCATGTCCGATATTTGCTGCCCACTTAACCATACAATCTTTAATTAGCTCTGTTTCAGTAGACCATTCTAATAGATTCTTATATATTTTTGTTATTGTCTTGTTTTCTGATATTAGTATTGTGTCCCAAAAAGTTTCTTTATCCATAAATCCTATTTTTTTGTCTTTCATGTTGATTGGTGTTGACAAACACAAGGCTTGTGTTGACTTCCTTCTTAACATTGTAAACATTTCTGTTATCACTGTCCCAATTCTTACCAGAGTTTACTTTTCAGTTCTTATTAGCAACTTTTAATAACAGTCCAGCAAGCAGGTAGTTAGTCATTGCAGGCCTTAATAATATACTGGTGTGTCCAGAATTATTTGTTCCATACATACATCGTTCCACTCTTCCATTCATTCTCACACATCATATTAAATCCACATTTATAAAATCTGCACATTAAAGTTTTGTGACAGGGTTACCATACATTGACAGGGGACTTGAAGGTACACCTAAGGACAATGCTGCCCTACAGATATTCTTTGATGGCATTCTCCATCCTTCATCATTATTGGCTGTACTGCCTAAGTATATAGGGAGTTGCAATCCTAAAATATTATCTGAATTCTGTTATGATTCCCACAAACCGGCACACATATTTCTAAGAGTAATTTCTATCGGACTGAATGGGCCATACATCTGAGTAGATATGTATATGCCTTGATTGCAAGAGGATTGATTACAAGCCCAGATAACGTCAGCATCTTGTTGTTTGTCCTTCATATCTCTCAGCTTCCAGCTGTCATGACTAATAACACCATGTAACACATTTTTTGCTACTGGATTATAAATGTCATTTCTTAATTGGTTCTATCATAAAAACATGGGAAAAATTTATTAAACTGCAAAAACATTGTTTTTGCAGAAGGGACATCCTGCACCACATTTTGCTCTAGTTTTTTCATAGAGTCTCAACCACTTTAACGTACTTTGTGGCAGCCTGTCACATTGCCAGTGCTCTGCCAATATTTAGGCAGAGATGAACCAAACTCCCAGTTTGTGTTAAACAATTTAATTAAATCAGCACTTACTTTCCGGCTGTTTTAATAGTCCAAAACATAATACATAAAGATAGCACTCAGCCACAGAATATAAAACAAAACTGTCAGCAAACACTGTTGCAGGTTCAAGATAACACCATAGTCAAAGGTCCAGTCCAGTGGTCAAACGCCGAGAGATCAAGGGATAAAGAGTCTATACCATAGTCAGAAGCCAGTCCAGAGATTCAAGGTTCCAGGATTCCAAAGGTTCAGGAGACAGGTCAGGATACTGAAAATCCACAAACCTGGGGGAAAACCAGCAGCATCTACCACCAAAATAACACAAACACTTTTCTCCCAAAGATCAGTCCCAAGGCTCGCTCCTTATATCCAGAAACACCCAGATGCAACCTATTTCTTGCATACCTCTACCCTTAATTGCTTTCACCCCTGAACTCTTACTTACAGATTACTCAACCCTTTACAACTAAGACTTACATTAACCCTTCCATCACCAACTGCTAGGCCTGCCACAACTAACCACCATCAACTGCAGAACATGATACATGACACAGCCACAAAAAACAAAGTTTCTGGAGTAGTACAACTACTTTCAAAGTAAGCACTGCACAATCAAACAGGAAATAACACTTTAAATCCAGGAACAGATTTTTTAAAGAATTGTTACACAGTGTAATCATTAATATATTTCTCCCCTTCTTGAATTTGTGTTGTGGTTTTCAAAGCCACCTGGGTTGGTGCTAGCCACCATATATCATAGCAGTGAGTTCCACGGTTTAATTATAGAATGCATTAAAAAGTCCTTCTTGATCATTCCAAATTTGCTAGCTATCACTAGGATGCAAATAGCTAGGTATTGACATGTCTATAAAGACATTGGGCTGCTGAATGCACTTTGGGGCAGTGAAGCAAGGCTTTTGATGGAGGGAAACTGCTTAGATCAAGGAGTTGAAGGAAACAGAAGCAGCTGAAGAGGAAAAAATGGGCTGAAATATACAATTCTGTTTTTCAGGTACCAACTGGAAGATAATCATGCTTGTCCTCAGTCCTGTGGCTTTTATCCTGGGATTGGTCATTCTCCTGCTAAACATCCACTACAACAGGTAAGTGGACTTGATGCAGTATTAACGTAAATAGAATGCCAGCCTCACATCAGGGAGGGAAACTAGACAGCCTAATGGAATACTATTTATGGGAAGCTCCTTCGTATATTTTGCCTGGAATTGCTCCCAAGGCACCACTCACCACCAGAACTACAGTTGTTTTCTTTTTTCCAAAGTGACCAAATCTCATAATGTTGTAGATCAGCCTGAGGCTGATGGGTTCACTGATTATTTAGAGAGGATTGTGGGATTTCCTGGGGCATTATTATTATTATTATTATTAAACTTTATTTGTACCCTGCTAGCATCTCCCGAAGGACTCGATGCAGCTTACAAAGGCCAAGGCCTCAACACAACAACAACAGACAATAACAATACGATACAAAGCAAATTAAAAACATAAGCAATAACAAAACATTACACTATTACGCAATAAAACCAGGGCCGGGCCAATGATGGGTACAGATTAAAAAGTGCTGGGTGTGGCAGGTGGTATGTTGGGATTCTGGGCAAGTGCAATGTGCAGAGAGTCTTAACTCTAATAAAGTGCTTCTGGGACATAGTGCTGGGGGTTATCCTATTCTGGAAAGGCACATCGGAATAGCCAGGTCTTCAAGTTCTTCCTAAAGACTGCCAACGTGGGTGCTAGTCTAATGTCTTTGGGGAGGGTGTTCCAAAGTCGGGGGCAACCACAGAGAAGGCCCTGTCCCTCGTCCCCACCAAACGCGCCTGTGACGCAGGTGGGATCGTGAGCAGGGCCTCTCCGGATGAACGAAGGAGCGCGTGGGTTCGTAAACGGAGATGCGGTCACGCAGGTAGGCAGGTCCCAAACCGTTTAGGGCTTTGTAGGTAAGCACCTGCACCTTGAATTGGGTTCGGTAGGTAAACGGCAGCCAATGGAGCTCCTTAAACAGGAGGGTTGACCTCTCTCTGTAAGGAGCGCCAGTTAACATCCTGGCCACCGCCCGTTGAACCAGTTGGAATGTCCGAGCTGTTTTCAAGGGCAGCCCCACATAGAGCGCATTACAGTAATCCAATCTAGAGGTGACCAAGGCATGGACCACCCCGGCCAAATCAACCTTTGCGAGGTATGGTTGCAGCTGGCGCACGAGTCTTAGTTGTGCAAAAGCCCTCCCGGACACTGCCGACGCCTGAGCCTCAAACGTAAGTGAAGAATCCAGAGGACACCCAAACTGCGGACCTGTGACTTCAGGGGGAGTGTAACCCCGTCCAGCACAGGTTGCCACCCTATACCCCGATCCGGTTTACGATTGACCAGGAGGACCTCTGTCTTGTCGGGATTGATCTTCAGCTTGTTCTTCCTCATCCAGATAGCCACAGCGGCCAGGCACTCGTCCAGCACTCGAGGGGCCTCCTTGGAATTAGGTGGAAATGAGTAGTAGAGTTGTGTGTCATCTGCGTAGGGATGGCACCTAACTCCAAGTCAGGGAAATGATGGTTCTCTCTATGAGAAATCTGACTCTGAAAGTGCAGGGCTTCAAGGTCAGCTAGAGGAGCCAGAAACTGCAACATTAGACAAGGAGTAGAGCAAAGAGCTAAGTGATATGGAAGGCTCCCAGGGAAAAACACCTGGAGCTACAGAGATCAACAAAAGACTTCATTTACAGATCAGAGAAGAAAATAGGCAGCGTCGGTCAGTGTGATTACATGGGAAAGTTGTGGAAAATATTCATGGGAAACAGAATGATTTCATGGTTGTCTATTAAATAGCAAGTTGTTTACCTATGGGTTAGTTCAGGCAACGTAGCATTCGAGTGGGAAGCTAGGCCTGAGTTCTCTGGTTCTTATTTCAAGTCAAGCCTTCATTTTGGAATTAAAATACCCTGGAAGTTTTCTATGTGCCTTGTTTTTGTATTCTTGCTCAAGTTACTAAGTATACCTTTTTTTCTTGTGGACTGAAGCTGTACTTGTGATTTTTTTGTCTATTCCTGGACTGTGTACCTTTCGATCTGTATGATACATTTGCTATACTGTTTGGCTGTCACTGTTTGGTTGACACTGTTGTTGCTAAACCCTTTTTTGGATTATACATCTTTTTTTTCTTTATTCCTGATTTTTCTTATACTTTTTATGTTTTTTAAAACTGCTTGCTTATATTCTGAATTCCTGTGTGATGTTGTGGTCATAGGTGTTTCCAGGCCCAGGGTGCAACACATAGCTTTCCAAAGAAGGGAATCCCAGAGCTTTGGGCAGCCACTGAGGTCCCTTCTACACTGTCATATAAAGTCCAGATTATTTGTTTTGAACTGGATTATAAGGAAGTCTAGGCTCATATAATTCTGGGGTGTTGTGTGAATTTTTGGGCTGTGTGGCCAACGTGTTCTAGCATCATTTTCTCCTGATGTTTCGCCTGCATATGTGGTTAGCAACCTCAGAGGATCTGATGACACTCCTTTTCAAAGGATTCTCTGCTAATATTAGCAATTATTAAATATTATTAATATTATTAATAATCATATATTTTATATTATGCATATATAGTAATTATTAATTCGAGGAGCCCCCAGTGATGCAGTGGGTGAAAGCACTGAGCTGCTGAACTTGTTGACCAAAAGGTCAAAAGGTTCAAATCCGGGGAGCAGCATGACCACCCGCTGTTAGCCCCAGCTTCTGCCAACCTAGCAGTTCGAAAACATGCAAAGGGGAGGATGGGTGCAATCCTGGCTAGCCTTGCTCCATCAGTACTTTGAGGGATCAATACCAACTCTAATGC